CGTTTCCGCGCGCAATTCTTAATAGGTGTCCTCAATTTATTAGAGAAAAATTAAACATGCGATTATGGTAAGGAGGCCATTTGTCTAACCATCGGAGGCTGCCGACTGTTTTATTTCAGTCTGGCCCAGTTAGACTGTTATGGTTTACACAGCGAAATGTTGTGGATTCGGCTACTATGACTCGCATCAGCAGGACACTGTGAACCAACAATAGTGGGGAAAATGGAATTGTACCCGAAGGGTAGGGAAAATACTGTGGGCTTGAGGAATAGTTAAGTAAAAAGATCTGATGCAGAATGTTAACAGCTGGATGTAACAGCAGGGATGTATGAGTATCACAGACTGCGCAACTACACCATGCGAAGTAGGGTCTCCATCCACCATGACGCCACGTGACAGCCTGACTAGGTTATTCGAATAACTTGTTCCAAATGCTATGCATTCTCAGCCACTACGTAGAGTACGATTCTTTCCAAATGGGTACAGCTAGTACCAGGCATACGAAACACATCACCTAACCCAATTAAAAGGTTACCGTTAATAAGGCACTCCTGTGGAGCACCACACTGTCCGGACCCGTGTACAAACGAGTACGCTTCAACACGGTTTTCCCTGTTGTGTCTCAGTGTGACCAAAGCACTGCAGGGCAGGCAATCTAAGACGGTCAGCTGGTTAGTTCCGATGTACATCACCTGTGTGGGACCTGTAGGAACATCATTCCCCAGGCACATTTTAACCAGACATTCTCAGTAGACCATACTGATTAACACGCACTTTACTGGCTAACTGATGGGTAAATCTTTTTTTCTCTCACTTGAAATCGCTGCGAACTCCACTAGCGCAGCTTTGAAACGAAGTACGACTGGTAACTAATTAATCCCCTACCCTCTGAGTAGGCGCACAGCACATAACTACTAGCGTTAAGATATCTTAATCAGCTTTTTCTGTTCATTAGGAACGTATAAAACATAGTGTTGGAACCACAGCACAATGTATGTTCGTGGTATCCACACGATGACAAAACATTGCTAACTCAACGGAATCCAACTACTGCTTTAAATATATATATATATATATTTATTTATTTATTTAAATAGCCGATAGCAACAGTGTAAACCATGCCCATCCTGGCGTCTCCATGACAAATCAAGACTTTCGAAAGTCATACGGGCTCTATTGACACTTGGCCACTTCTTTAGTAATGCTGCCACCAGCGGTGTTACAGATAGCTAGATAAGCAAAAGGCAGGGTTAGCGAACATATGTTTTAGATAATTATTCTTCAGGCTAGTACAATTATAAACCAGTCAACTCACCCATACAGCCTATTGAGGTGGTTAAAAAAGTGGTAAAACAAGTGTTTAGAAGAGGTCAACCATCGCTATTGATCAGGTCAACCTCTGAGTCTGCATGTGATCAAACTGAGCAAAGGTTACGAATCGATCGGACCAGAGCAGCCGTAAGACCTGGATGATTTGCTTCGGAATGCAAAGATTCGGTTCGTCAGCCGAAATGCGCTGGTCTCAGCGGCTTCTAGTATCCGTTTGCGCATATACCTCAATCGATTATCATGGGCTTTGTGGGTCATTTTTTGATGCTTCTGCTGTTTTAGGGTTATGCCCAGTGTCGGCGAGGTGAGCAGCTATGGAAGTGTTTCACACTCTGCTGATTCCAGCCGTTAGCCATGCGGGAGGGTGGTCTTTCACTTCTCGGATAGACATCTAGTCGTACAACCAATGGATCCTGTTCCATGGGAACGGGCGAATGAATAGATACTCATGGAGTTGTCGTGTACAGGTCTATTATCCTTGAGACTGAGCGTAAGCACTGGTGTGCTGGGCAAGTATATCTGTAAGTTTGCTGCTGGGAAGGTACGTCTGGGCTGGTGTGATAGACGGTGATTAAGAATTTCTGCCACGATTTCTCCTTTTTACGGCAATCGTTGCAAAACAGCGTTTCGGTTCGCCGTTAAAACTATTAGCGTGTTCTTCTGCTCCATGTGGACTTGTATAAAGTGACCTGGGTAGCTATTTTCTTGCAGCGTCGCGCATTTGCGCTGTAGTTCCTCTGAAAGTGTATCATGTGAGCAGATTATCTTCATTTTACTGACTGGATTAAGAATTACGTCCCATTTGGTTTTCAGTGGCACAAATCTGTGAAAGTTAATGTATTGGCCGTTCCATGTGCCTTTTCTATATACGTGACGCTGAAACATTCCGCTATCGAGTATCTTTAAGCCCACGTCAAGGAAGTGAAAACCTCCAGTTTTTTCTACCTCCGCGGTAAAATACATCGCATTCTGGGCCCGTTTATGAGTTTTGGTTATGTCTTCGGTACTCTGATGAGACTGAAACACCATAAGTATATCAGCAACATAATGGCGGTATAAGCTGAGCCTTGCGATGGTTGATTTTAAACTCCCTTTTCAAGCATGCCCAGAAAATATCAGCGAGTAGTGGCCCAAGTGAGGAACCCATCGCCACTGCATCTCTCCACCGCTTGTATCTCCCCGTTAAATATAAATTGGATGTTGTACTCGCATCTAAGCAACAATTCCTTCAGGACCACGGTGGCTCTGTAGATGTTGATCCCGCTGCCGTCAACGTATTCGAAGAGTTAATTTATTGTTTCAAATATGGGCACGGTTGTGAACAACGGGGTGTGATCTTTAAAGTATGGTAGGAATCTAGACATTTCCTTCATAATAACTGATAACATTGGACTGACTACCGAAAGATGTAGCTGATGAAAACCTGTGCCAATTGGGTTGGGAATACCACCGAGTTTGTTAGGTGCCAGGCAAGGTGATGTAGGCACCTGTGTAGGAATGCAGCATAGAATTTTGGCCGGTAGAAACTAGATTGAACGACTCGTAATTCATTAATTATGCCCACCCAGATATTAGAAGCACTCTTTGCGGCAATTCCCTTCAGACAAAAATACAATTTCATGACAGATAAATGTGACAGGTAAACGCACGTTGGGGGTATGATTAGTTGACTCAACGAAGTTGATCGATAGGTAAGTACGAGTTGCATAACACATGCGAAGAGAACTATTTTCGGCAATTCGCTTCAGACAAATGCAATTACAATGCATATAAATGTGACAGGTAAGCGTACGCCGGGGCCGGGATTAGTTGACGCAACGAAGTCGAGCAATAGTCCACTCGATACAGTCAGACGTCATGAGTCGCGGGGGCACGCGAGCAGACGCACACACGCACAAAGCACAGATGCGTTGGCCGGCAGGTCTACAACGGTCACTGTCAGTCGTAACCGCGGTCTGACATTACGGCCACTAGAACAGCATAGATTGTGTCAGTGTTTTCTGCTTGCACAAATCTGGCTGAAGTAGTCTGATTGCAATGGCTTCAGCGGTGGCCAATAAGCGCTGGCTGATTCCTTACAATCAGAATACTTCAGCCGGATTTGTGTAAGCAGAAGACACTGATACAATCTACACTGTTGTCGTGGCCGTAATGCCGGACGGTGGTTACGACTGAGAGGGACCACTGTAAACCTACCGGCCAACGCGTCTGTGCTTGTGTGTGTTTGCGTCTGCGCGCGCGTCCCCGCGACTCATGACGTCTGACTGTTTCGAGTGGACTATTGCTCGACTTCGTTGCGTCAACTAATCCCGGCCCCGGCGTACGCTTACCTGTCACATTTATATGCCTTGTAATTGCATTTGTCTGAAGTGAATTGCCGAAAATAGTTCTCTTCGCAAGTGTTACGCAACTCGTACTTACCTATCCTCCAGGTATGAAAGGCGAAACGCCCTTCCAGGGGTTGATTGGGGTCCGGTAAGCAACAAGATTGAGCATCACGCTACTGATGATCACGAAATTCACATTTGTCATATGGATAGAGGTTGAAAGTTAAAGAAATAAAATCAGTACGAGCATTCACTGAGACCATAAAAAGACCCCGTTGCTTCAGATATTACTTATTCATCCCAACTAAGATCCGAAGTTGGATTACATGAATGCTGCTATTTAATGTTACCTATTCCAGCAAATTTTCAGTGTGATTTGTTGAGTGCAAACTATACACCGAAATCGCTTGAATTAATCGAATCCTGGACCCTAGAGACATGCAGTCTTTATCCCGTGACGAAAAGTTATGAACCCAATATTCGATGATTTGTTACAGTGCTGTGATCTTATCTGCGTGTTTCGGAGACACAGTGTACATCAACCTTAAGTAATTGATGAATGCTATTTAGTAGTTTAATAGCCGATCTGACAGTGGGCATTTCCTGAAGAAACCAAGGATACTAAAGCTGAGTTAGATAACTAAACAGAACCAGCTTAACGTACTCGTCAATCTCTTGCTCGCCAGCCAGTACAAACGAACTCGAAGGAGAGCATCATAAGCTAAGATCACTGGTAATTAGATCTTGTAAAACGATGGCACCGTCCGACCGCGCATTAGAAGAAAGTGCTATCCGAGATTCTCAGCTTTCAGTTTGTCCATTTAGTGGTGTATTTTATAATGTAGCTAATGTGTTAGCTACCTGACATCGAGTGAAAAGCATATCCATATGGTCGCGTGCTGTTTAATTGTACAAGCGCAGATTAAACGCTCACTACAAGAAAAACACTCATAGTAGTAGTCGATAAGAATGCAGTAAATGTCACGGTTTGCGAATAAAAACTATGGCCCAGCTGCGTATCACTTTTCGTAGCACTAAACTGTTGCTTTGGTTGTTCCCATGGTACCACAAAACATTAACCTGAAGAAACGGGTTCGTGCGTGACCAAAGGTTATCTGTGGAAATGATTTCTTTTGAAGACCATGGGGGAAATAAATACACAATGAAATTTTTGCACGGCAGGCATATGAAAATGACCAACACATCTGTGTGACCAAAGGAAAGAAGCTGAATAGCAAAATCCTGCTCAAATAATAACAAAGCCAAGGCAGATCAGGTGCATTCTTTGCAAATGCTACTAAAGAAGCGAAAAATGTACAAAGCTATGAATTAAAAGGTCCCTGTTCAAATTTGTTGCTCTTAGCCTGCATGCTATATACAAACGTTACTTGAATCAGGTAGCGAATGTTGTGGTTCCAAGTAACTCTTTGAGTTATCCGAGGAAATCTCACGTTCCGATCGAAGGTAACTCAGGTCGGGTAGAGATGAACACGGATTCCGTCCATCGTTGATTATGGGGACTGCATACTGTACCGACTCAGCTGACCTCGAGTCAAACTTATTGGCCAGTGGTTTAGTCACACACGGGACGGGACATTCCACAGCTGGGTTGACTTCCCCATCATCGGGTAGATTATCTGGAGTGATAGTTATGGTTAGTTTAACCTTTTGCTTGTTATCAACTGGCAAAATTGTTCCCAAATTGAAGCTCGGGGAACCTGTGTAAATTCTCTGGTCAGATTTAGGACCGGCCGTCCACTGCTCGACTTGCGATTCATTGTCTTTATGAGTCAAACCGGGCAATTTGTTCGTTCCTTTCAGGTGATTTCGTTGCATTGCAAGAGAATACACTTCTTTACGATACATCGAATGTCTGGTTTTGTACAGCCCAACGTCAATATAATTGAATGATGCATCGGGACCCTGACATGATATCCATCGAAAAATCGCGTCCTGGACCGATTTTGGCAAAAGGAGCAATATTACCATCATAAAAAGTATACAGGTCAACAAGAACATCATGACGAACAGACCACCGCTGTAGTCTGCCGGTGTTTCTCCATTAACATTCTGGACGCTCGTTGAAGAGCCGTTGGTTGCACATTGTTCCGTGAGCTGGTCCTTAGTCTCGGTGGCGTGAGGCGCATACATCTTCTTTGATCGTACGAGATCAGACGACCCCGTTGATAATAAAACTAAAATGTGAAAGCAATGGTTAATAACATGAGTATTTCTGCTGGGAAACAATTCTTTGTATACATAAGACAGAGATTATGGATTTCGTAGAGAGGACCGACTAAAAAACAGATTGTGTTTCAAAGAGGGACTGTTGCGCAGATGATAGCGCTATAGTGAGTGTTTTCAGGAACAGCTGAAATGTTCGTTGAGTTAACGTGCGATTTACTATCCGACTGTATTTACTGGATATAAAGCTGATGCCTATATACGAGACGGCCTCCAGTAGTTTCGTTTCACGAGCTAAAACACGCGTTAAAATATAGCAATACTGGCGACAACGTGTTCCGGCAAATTACACCCTTCCTAGCTGTAGGGTACCTGCTCGTGGAATGTCGGTGAGATGACCGCTGGTTTAAGCTTCAAGACTCGCTTTCTTCATCTGAACATACTTCAGTATGGCATTTCCGTAGACTGCCAGAGCGCATTGGGCTCACACCTCATTACCTGCACAGTTGCACCATTAGGTCAAAATAATTTTTTGACAGATAGGGCACATGCGTCTGCCAGGCACACTTTTATTGTTGACATCAAGCATTGGTTTCACAGCGTTATCAGTAAAGATTGATCTGGGATGGGGCTACAAAATCCTTCCGGGTGATCATTGGTTCGGCAAATTAATGGTGTTGGTTGTAAAACTTAACTTTCAGGCTACTTTGGAAGGAAAACTGTGCAAACTTTGTATTTGATTTACCTGCCACAGCTAGTGTTAGAACAGCTTAGTATACAAATTCCAATGATCGATTGGCCTGCAGTGCATATGCTATTATTATTATTATTATTCTTTTCCCCGACCCCATGCAGAACAGCTTTCTATTATATATTACGATGCAATGAAACACCTTTTGCGCATGTCTTACCCGGGCTACCTAGGCGCGATTCGGAGGGTCAGAAAAACGAAAGTTATCTAGCCTCAGTACAAACAGGCCAATTGATCAGTCGGCTCAACCGAAATATCAACTGTCAATGGCAAACACATCAGCCTGTGTTCCGAATTCAAAGTTGGATTTGGAGTGCCCGCAGTATGGTCGGATTGCGACACGCTATCTCTACTGAGACCTCGGTTTACTTTGAAGCAGACCACGGTCATTTCGAGCAGGGGGACTCTATCCTAAATACAAGTAAATAGGTATTGTTCCTCCCAAAACCGTCACCCAACGACCGATGGTTTCGTCCCCATTGCACCTCACCAGTTAGAGATAGCCTAGGCCGGGTGGTACTCGGAGCCTATTGGCTAACGGTTGACGTCTTGATTACTATGCCACGGAGATCAGTGCGCAACTATTGGCGCAGTGGTAAAGGATTAAAAGTTAACCACCAGTCTTCGAGTTCCATCTCGGTTCAGCCTATCTCCACCGGATGAGTAGAAATGAGGAAGAAAACCGTCCGCAATGGGTATCCGTTTTAGGGGGAGCAACACGGTATTACTTCCAGCCTGTGTTCTGCTCACTGATATTAAACGTCACTGGAGATGCTTACTGCATGCAATGCTAAGTTCGGACCGATCAGCCTGCGGGTTAACTTATCACCCATCGAAGGCTTGGATATCTGCACACTCCCTGGGACGGTTCGACGGCAGCTGAACACTCTTGGTGATCTCAGACCAGAATGAACTTCGCCGCACTATCAACCAAAAACTTAAAGGAAATGTTCCATGCAATTGCCAAATTTTGTGGTCACAGCATGCTTTGGAGATGAAGACCACCACTCTCTCCTCGGGAATACTTGTAGGCAATTCCATCTCATCCGGACTATTAAGCACAGGGTGTCTGGCATCAGTGAACTCGTCTGTGATACGGAGGCGTTGCAACTCATAACCTTTCAGACGGAAACAAGAAAGGGGGCTGGACTTTTCCACTCCTAGTTCAGTTGCTCCTCGTCGTACAACTTTGCATCTGGCTCACTCAGTAGCATGTCTCGAGCAGTGTCAATAGTATTACCTACCGAAGCGAAGGCTTATCATGAGACCCGACATATAAAACATTTTATGCCTGTGAATTCGGACGAACGTCCACCAGAATGGTTCAGTTATGGTGGCGTAGTGGTTTTTAATCCGATAACACCCTTGTTCCTAAAGGTTTGGCAGGAAGAATCTACGCTCTCCTTTTGAGAACAGTCGGTAATGGTCCCAGTCATCAAGAAAGCTTCTTGTACTTCTTGCATCAAATGCAGATGGATAGCCGGACATAAGTCGCCTCCAAGTTACTTTCATACGACATGCTTCATAGGGTAGTCTCAATGCACACTGTACACTATATGTTGAGGCGCGCTGGTTTTCGCTCCGGTTGACGATGTGTGGATCAACTCGTTAGGCTTCGGCAGGTCTTCGAAAATGGCTACGTCAGCCACCGACCCACCATTGTCGATTTCCCGAACATTCGGGCCGTGTTGAGCTTAGTGAGTCTGGTTTATGACAATGCATGCAAAGGAACGAAGTTTCCGAAAACTACCTCGTTATTCTTGGTGCACTATGCCTCTGTAGTTTAGCAGACAGAGCCTACGGTAAGCTTTCTTCACTAGTTCCTTTCACCAGGGGTGTAAGAAAAGGAAAAACTATGTCCACGTTTCTCTTTGAATTTGCAATTAAAGATGTTCCGTTGGAAGTTATAAAGTTTTGAAAATGTTTGGCATCAAATTCCTTTCAGATAATGACCTAATCTACTCATATTATGCTGATAATCCTGCCTTGCTCAGGGATATCCCTTGTGCTATGCAATTTACCCTCGACTGACTAGCGAATGAAAAGTCTAAGTATGGTATGTGCTTTGCCGTCCACAAATGCAAACCTCTGTTACAGGATTGGCAGACACAAATTTCTCACCTCACCATAAAAGACATACAGTCCGAACAGGTAGACAAATTTTTATCTAGTGTTTATCCTTTCTGACCATGCCGCTATTGCGGAGGAACTTGCCCTTCGTGCCACTAAAGCCTTACCGGGTTTTGCCAATTTGAGACCTCTGTGGCGTCGGCGCGACATTTCGCTCTCGTTAAATGACAAGGTTTACTTTTTTTGTGTTCGCGCAGAATCATAGTATAGATCGGAATGTTGACCGATACGTATGGACGACGTGCGTGGGTTTTCGACGACACCGACTGCGCACGCATGGTATCAGTTACCGCGTCTTCGTCATGTTGGATCTTCTTCCTTTGTGAGCTTGAGATGGTTTAACCAGGTCCTTCGCAAGCCTAAGGAATATTTGCCATACCGCGCCCTTTTTACGCACTCAGGAATTTATTGGAAGTGACCGCGTGAAGGCTAACCGACAACTTGAAAACAAAGTATGCAATTGTTGACAACTTAGATGGCGAATTCTCGCCCTGTACGTCTTCCCGGTTAAGGACCCGAATATGAAAAAGGCCATTGGCTGACCTCGCTCGAAACAATGGAGCGAAACCGCTCGCGCTAAAAGCTATGTGTGCAAGTATGCGTGCATCCCCGATTTCACACATTAACTTTTAAAATAAAACGAAGCAAGTGCAAAATGTCGTGGAAAATTAATGTTCTCGATTTGCCGAAATGTTGGTTACTTCTTCGAAGTACCTTAGTCCCCATATTTATTGGCGTTGCTGTAATTTGGCTTCAAAGGAACATCCTTGGTAACTGTGGTAACCACTTTTGCACCCCGGTTGACTGCTGCGATATATTCCTTGTTTATATGGGCGTGCCACTGGGAATGAGGGCGGGTCGTCAATACACGTTTGTGAAGTACTGTTCTCGTTCTCACTGGGTTCGATCTTTACCCACTGGAATTTACTGTTCGTTGTCTGGCAATCGTTTGCATTGTATATTCCTCCATATTTTGCACGTCGGATTTACTTTACCCATTCTAGGATGACTGCACATTACTATTCCATGTTTTCCAATAATTCCATGTCTTCCTAAGAATATACACAACCGAAGCTGTCTAAGGCGACCACACAAACGACCGACAAAATGAGGTCGCCTTGGACAGGTGGTCGCCATGGCAGGTTGGAATATATATATATATATATATATATATATATATATATATATATATATATATATATATATATATATATATATATATATATATATATATATATATATATGAAATTAATCCATGTGTATATGTATACCGAATAAATTCGACGAGGATACTCATACTGCTTTCCTACGGACAACTTAGTGCATGGAAGCGGCACTAGAGCAAACGACAAATAACGTTACCAGAATATGAAGGCGAGTTTATGATAAACTCATGGTGAGTTCAGGTGTTGCGAATCCAATGCCAATTGGATCGATGCAAATTCTGTGGGCTGATCAAAAGGGCGATCGCTCATGTGCAAGAGAAGGCATTATTACACGCGGAATAGAGGCACTATTCGTACGCTCCCATTCGATTTACTAATCCACAGCAATAAGACGCCGTATGTGGTACGTCTGCCTGCGTGATGAGTAATCTTGCATTTCAGAAGTAGATGTTGTTTAAGCTTCCCGGTGTGGCCGCGCCTGATGTGAATGTTGATAAGACGCCTACCTGTCTATTACCCACTACCTCGTCCATACTGGCTCCAGGAGACAGTTGGTCGTTGCTGGAGGGGACGGGGTGCACCGTCCTCGTGACGGTGCAAGCTTAAAGAGTAGTTCCCTCCTGTTTGGAACTAGCTACGGTCCAGCCACCGCCATGTGTACGTCTGATGTGCATGATTTCCCGATTAGGCTGGAATGCTTTTATTCTGCATTTTGGAGGTGTATGGGCCGGCTCCGTTGATGAAGCCTGGCTCCGCAGCTACTTGCCTCCCGGTTTTATTCCTTCTGGTTTACACTGAATATGGGGTGTGTGGGTGGAACTCTGGGTGGTGCAACGCAAGCCACCCATGGTTCCTCCGTAGGCCCGGGCGTCCTGTGGCCTGCCACAGGGACAGGCAAATCCGGATGCGGATGTCGCCATACCATATTCCCATGTATGTATGTTTGCCTCATGCTGAGCCTGAT